TGTGTGTGTGTGTGTGTGTGTGTGTGTGTGTGTGTGTGTGTGTGTGTGTGTTCATGTATTTTACTATGGGCAAGTATTCTAGAGAATGACAACGTCAGTAAGGAGGCTAGCTAAGCTACAAAGTTCGATAATTGGATATCGAGATGCATGCAAGGTCCAGATAATCTAGATTTGATATTTGCAAAAACGGATGGAAAAAAAGACGTGATGGGTTGATGGATGAATAGATTGATGTGTTGACAGTAAAAGATGGCATCGCCAGTTATCCCTGTGCCAAAAACTGCTATTTATTTTCACACTGCAAAAGGCTAGTCAACCTTGGAAACCAGAAAAACTCTTGTCATAGTGGTTGCTTTGGCTAGACTTAGACAGTTTTATCGTTATCAACATGTTCAAAAGCCTGACCCAGGAAGAAGAGGTTGGGCCCCCTTGACCCTTTCAATCACAGGAAAGGACAGAGCTATTTTGGAAGTGGGTATTCGACGATTGCCCCCCCCCCCGTGACATGATAGGAAAGTTTTTTCCCGTGGAAAACAACCTTTGGGAAAAACAAGAGTATTAATTAGCAGCTACTGTTTTCGCTGATACTCCAGTTTTGAAAACCTGTGTTTTTGGTTATCTTTTGGGGGAAAATCTCTTAAAATGTGATGTTTAAAATTAAGAACGCATTGATTATATTAATAGTCTTTTTTATATAAACCAGATGTTTTTAGGTTTTATGTGTGTTGGAGTGTTGGAGCTGCTGTTTGAAATAATTTATTTGCTAGATAAAGAATATTTCCCTGGACGCCCACACGTTAATAAGAGACTTCATTTTGAGAATGTTTTCAATACATTAATTATAGTAGCTTCTATTTGGTTTCAAATGACCCCCACCCTGACCCCATCTCTTAGAGAACCTTAAAAATAAGTAACTTTTCCTGAATTGTTTTTCACCGGACATGCCTTCCTCAGCTGAATCCATAACTTTCAATAATTATATGTTATTAATAAGATATGGATCGGTGCCCACCTGTGCGAAATATAAAACAGGACCTCTGGTGGAAATAATAAGCTATCTTCCAATATCCTCGACACGCTGGCTCCGGTTCTACGGTTATTTGTTGTAACGATAGCCGAGCCAAGGTGGAGCGGAACGGTAAAGCTTGTTTTTATTCGTATATTGCCAGGTTTCTGCTTTTCTTCATTTTTTCGTTTTTGTTCTGTTCACGTTTCCTTGCTTAGTATACCATTTGGCCTACGTCGCAAGGAAACCGGGTATCAAACAAAATCCCTATTATCTGCTGCATCATTCACTACTATTTATATAGTGAGCGCAGTCTTAGAAATGGAAGCTTGCACTGATTTTACAGTTTGAAATTCTTAATTTTACGCTAAACATACTATCATTTATGCAGGTTAGAACCACACTTTGCGTGTAACAAAATGTTTCTATCTTCTGTTAGTAAATAAGTTACAGCCCATCTGTGAACTAATTGGCGTGTTATCGAATATTATAATACCTGCCTCTTTCATGCGTTTATTCGTTGAAAAAAAGGTTTTATTCTTCGGAATACAAAAGTGGAATTACTTTTCAAATGAACTCATTGCTTTTACTTTGTATATATACCTTAGTAGGCGGATGTTTTGAAAGTACTAAAAAAACTTGAGCATTAATTTAAAATGACGTGGTCTGTTTTGAGCCAACGCCCTTTATCTAAAATTTCTATTTAAAAATGTTGTAAGAAGCATAGGGATTACTTTTTGCTTGCTAAGATTATAAAACGACGTTTTAAGGATCACTCTCTTCCCTTCCTCTCTGCTGTTTGGTAGACCTTACTTTTCCCACTCGTGCTTGTTTTCGTGCAAACGGCGGGGAGAGAGCGATTCTGGAAGCAAACGAAGTACCTATATTGGGTTTCCATTAGTTCCTAATGCTGCGAAGAGGAAGTTGAGAGGAATCATTAAGGAAGAGTTACCTGGTCGTCGTGACATTATGAAGGGCTGTGCCGGGAAAACCAACCCTTAAATCAAGTTCTCGACACAGTAATCTATGCAAAGTAAATAGTGTTGCACAGCAAGAGAAAAATAATTTGGAATGTTTGTTAAAGTTAAAGTGACTTGCCTCTTTACACCTTTGACCAGGCCAATGATCAGATGGAGATTTTCATGTTCCTTGTTAAGTAGCTAATGATTGTGGCAATGAAGGATAAAACCTATCAGGGCTTCTTAGAAATGTATAGTTCAGAACAGGTGAACGTTGAGAAGTATACCCGATTATCTTAATTTTGAAATCAGTTTCTCTGAGTTACGTAACGTCTAGATTAAAATTGAAAAAGATATGATGATAGGGATTTTAGTGCCTTTCCTCCCCCCCCCCCTCTTTCTGGCTGTGTTATCCCTTTCACCCTCGAGATGATACCTCTGATATTTCCAATTCCCCTTTTCTATTGGTTTATTCCTATCCTATCGAGATCGAATAATAGTACTCATCAATGAAATTATACCACCCATTATACTGTTTTACTTTAAATATTTTTGTTTTTGTTTTCCTACGCAGTATCGCTAACATTACTCATTGTGCACATGCACAGGTGAATTCATTGTAGAAACTGACGTTTTAATGCCACACTACAGCATACTTATGTTTTTCTTACCTTCAGATATGGGCACTGTGTCAGCTGTTCCAGCAAACAAGATCCGGATCACTGGAAAGGTCAGGTTCTGCTGTGTTGTCTAAAGCGACCCAGGAGGGAACTAGCAGCTGATCTTCATTGTCTCCATAATATCCTGGATTATACAGTCTCTGTTGAGACTGTTGCTGGCATGTTAAAGTGTTAGTGTTTACCCTCATACAAGTATATGGACAGATGATGTAACAGCAATTTATTTGATCATGATGCTGTTCTCCTAATGACTCTAGAGTGAATACAGCCCAGCAGAGGAACTTCAATAGAACCCCAGAAGCTGGCGGTAAAACGTTAAGGGAATAAAAGCTATAAAAGATAGTGAAACACTAGAACTGAAGTCATTCTGAAAGTGTATACTAGTAGTGCTTGGTCGTCCACTCTGTAATCAGGACTGAAAAGCTCAAACTGGAAAATGTCATTACATGGCAAGCCAGAAAGTCACCCTCTCTCTGAGTGATGAACAAGGATACTTAGTGATAGAAGCTGGGAGAGACAATGAATTTATTCTTTCTCTGTTCGAATTCCACCACTGCGGCCTAATGGTGGCCTTCACATCACGTGATTGCGTGACTGCCTGAGGAGGCCAGAAGGCAGGCCATGGTCACACTAGCTGTGCTGTTGTCAACAGAACTTTGGCACCAGTTGACTTCAATCTCTACTTGGTAAGTTGAAAACCCACCTTGTGCTCTCCAGCAGCTCCTGTTTTTTTTCTCCAAAATTCGAATTTGTTGGCCATCTATTCGAAACAAGGTCAAATATGTCTTGACCTTTTTGTTTTGAAGGTGGTTTCAATGATTCAAAAATTTTTCGGAGAAAGCTAGGAATACTACCTCGGTTTTCATGGATCATCCTTACTACATAGTAACCGAATCGCCTGAAGTACTAGGTTCAATCATTTGTAAATACCAGTAAACCTATTCTGATAAACGTAGAAATTGTGTAGTCTAGTGAAGTACTTCGCACCTATACCATTTTTCTGTGGCACACTTTTGGGTGGCCTTTGTAATCAGATTACTCTTAAATATATTTTTTGTTAGATTTTATAATGCTCTACGTGTGTGTATGAGTACTATGCTTTTCTTTGAAATCATTGGTAGTTTGAAGGAACTGGTTATTCAATAACTGTTTCTTTGAACTGATTTATGTATGTTCATATTATACTTTTAACAGAAAACGTTTGGAAAAATCAACCATTATCGCCCATGTGTTATGCTGTTGTCACAGGGTTTTGAAATTCTTAAAGTAATACCTGTTTTTCCTCGTTTTGTCATCCCCAGGCACTTCAACTTTGAGAAATGCCAGTCTTTACTCGGTGTACTAAGCAGTACCTACCAGGATATTGAAAGCTGTACGGGATATAAACGTAATTAGTAATCGATACGACCTGTCTTTTGATCAGCCCGACATCACTACAGCTTGAAGCAGCAATGGATACGATCAAGTCTTATTTCCAGAAGATGATGCCACAGAGCCATACCATGAGAAAGGGCAGTGGCAAGTGGAAGCGTGGGCGTAGTCGGGAACGAGAGAGGACAGTAGGGATGATGCCCCACCGGTCCGCTTCAACGTCACACGTTGACTTCGCGCCACACGACTCAGACATGGACGCCATCTCTATGTCTTCCGGCCGCACTTTTTCTCCGTGCCTGGACACGTTTGGTCCGCGGAATCTCCAGTTCCACAGAGCCTCGGAACCCCACTGTGCAGTGACTTCCGGAAGGTCTGGCGGCCTTACTCGCTCTGGTGTTGGAGATTTCACACTAGGTCGCTCCCACATGCAGCCTCTCGGCGCCCCGAACGCCCCAGGCCCTAGTGCTGGGCATCATTATCACAATCAGCTTCAGTTACAGCAGCTGCAGCAGCAGCACCGAGCAGAGGTGACCAGAACCCCGCCGCCGTCCAAACCACCTCGTAAGGATTTGGTGTTTTCCGTACAGTTGGACACAGAGGGTCTAAGTGATATTGGTGTGGAGATTGATTGTGTGCCAACGCCGTCCACCTCGACACCTCCTACTCCGGCCAAGGGTTCACCTAAATGTAAAGTAAGCGGCTTGGAGCAGGAAGGGCGTGAAGTTGAAAGCTCAGACAGCCAAAGCGCCTGCAGTACGCCCAGGTCTGTGCGGACTCATGCAAGCCAAGAAGAGAACGGGGCTGGTAGAGACAGACCATCGAGTGGGAGCAGTTGTGGGGGTCATGGTTTGACATGTAAGGTCGTGTCCTTGACCCAAGGAAGTCGTTGCCACTTAGACGGACGAGTCAAGGTCAATGACGAAATTGTGGATATTAATGGAGAAGCTCTTCACAAAGAGACCAGGGAAGCTGCAAAGTAAGTTTAGTAAATGCTTGTTTATTGAGTTTGTTTTCTTGACTGTTATTTTTCCTGCTTTGAATTTATTATTTCAAAGTCCACCTCATGGTAGTTCTTTTGAAACAACTACAATAACGTTGTTGTCTTTTTTGGCACAGTCCTTATAGAATTAATATGTCTAAGCTGAGGATTACACCTCCCGACTCCCTTTTTTTGTACCTTGAACACTCCTAGAGCATAGTTGCCCGCATCTGGGATTTTTATGAGATCCACATTCAACGCCTTGTGAGGCTTGTATTGGTCTCGTATACAGTTGTCAAGTGGAGCTTGACATTGCAAACATCTCTAGACTGATACTGTTTCACTGACGTGCAGACATTGGTTCCCCACAAAGGGTGTGGGCGTATTTTAAGACAAACTGCTTTCAGCAATAACTTTTTTTTATAGTACCCAGTCGACTCTGTACCCCTTCTTGCCGCTATTTTAAGGATTGAAGGTTCAATTCTTAAAAATTAGATACTCTGCAATGATCTCCCACATTCTGTGTAATCTGTGTATACAACTCGCAGATTTTTTTTACTAACATTGTTGGGGAAGGTACGGAATCAACTTATATATTGGACACCCACTCTTTTCCTTAGAAGTAGAATGAATCCCCGTCCCGTCTTTTTTGTTGCTCCTGCTCTCTAATGATAGACATAAACACGAAGATGTCTCTTCTTTCTTAAAAAAGAAATTTCCTATCAACCTCAGGCGAATTATCTTTTCAGAATGAATCCTTGTTGTTGTTTTTTTTTGCTACTACTTCGCTAAAATCATGTCTCGAGATTATGTCTCACCTGAGTTATCTAGGTAGGGGTTCTCTAGCTCTCGACTCCTCTTCAAGAGCTCATCCCATGTGTGTCTTTGATGTGTGGGAAGCACACTGGTTTATCTTGTGACGAGTGCTCGCTCCCAGGGATGGGTCAGGTTGTGACGAATTCACCTTCAGTGTGGCTGCCTTTACGTTTCTGCTAATTTCTCAAACAAACGTTTGTTTGAGGAAAGAAGTCTTCTACCGCCACCCCACACCGCCGCCCATCTCTCTTCTCCCTTCTCCCCCTACTCTCTACCCCCACACACTCGCACATACACACACACACACACACACACACAAACACACACACACACACACACACACACACAAACACACACACACACACACACACACACACACACATACACAACGCGCGCGAACACACACGCACATACACTCACACATATATATATATATAAATGCAGGCAATCATTCACGCTCTCTCACACAAATTCTGTCGCTCGTTGTCTCTCTCTCTCTCTCTCTCTCTCTCTCTCTCTCTCTCCCTCTTTATATCTATCTATCTCCCTCACACACATACACACACACACTCCCACATACACACCCACACGTGCATACACACACACATTCACGCACGTACACACACACGCACACACACACACACACACAAATACACACAAGCACACACGTGCACACACACACTCACAAGCACGATTGCACGCAGGCTCACACGCATTCACTCATTGTTTCCTACTGGTTTTCTCTCCCCTTCCCCATTATTTTCTCTGTCTGTCAGCCTCCCAGTCGTTATCTTCCTAAATATACTCATTAGCTGTCGAGTACGTCTTTCTTTGATTTTTTTTTTCTTCTGTTGTCTACCTTTCTAATCAACCTGCCGTCATCATTTTCCCTTTTAGAAATTGTTTCGATGTATTTCAATTAATGTGTAAGCAAAGCATCTACTCTCATTTTCTGTACATAATGTCGTCAACAATCTTCCACTCTGTCGTCTTTCCTTTCGTGACGTGGCGATTGCTTTTTACCCTCTTGTTTTACGTATCCGTTTTTCTTAATATCTTAACTCTTAGTATACGGAACCGGACCGCTGTTTCTTTTTTGTACCAGTTTTGTCACCCAAGTGTTTTCCCGATTACAAATTTCCATTAAAATTTTACTCCTATTTAAACTATTCACTTAAGATAGAAACTGCACAGAGTAAGAATGAATGATCCTGTTCCAAGCAATGAACATACAGTTTGATTATAGAATGAGATAATAAAGACTGACTGGGATTTTGAAGATTTTTGTTGTTAGTGGAAACAACCGAGTGATGCCATAAACCAGCTGAACTGGGCGCCTATATGCTAAGATTAATTAATGTTGTTCTCTTCCTTCTCTTGTTTCTTCCCCATTCCCCTAATCAGTGCTTCCCATTGAAGTTTTTATCTCGTTCACGATTGGGTCCGAAATTTAATTGATTTGTTAAAGTTGTTATCAGGAATTCTAGACACCAGCAGGTGTTCACATGGCAGATATGGATAAACCAGGATTTTTCTGTGTTCCATGAAACACTTGTCACCTGAATTAACAAACATTACATTACACTGTCAGCTAGCATCATAAAGGAAATAAATAAAGATAACTGTGTCTCTCTTTCTCTGTCGGTCTCTGACATTGTGTCTGTCAGATTGTCTCTGCTTGTTTCTGTTCTTTTCCTGTCTCTTTCTCTTTCTCTCTCCCTCGTTGTCTGTCTCTCTGTCTGTCTCTCTCTTTCTCTCTCTCTCTCTCTCTCTCTCTCTCTCTCTCTCTGTCTCTCTCTCTATCTCCCTCACTCACTCACACACACACACACACACACACACACACACACACACACACACACACACACACACACACACAGACACACACTCTCTCACTCACTTTTTCTCTGTCTCTGTCTGTCTGTCTGTCTGTCTGTCTGTCTGTCTGTCTGTCTGTCTGTCTGTCTGTCTGTCTGTCTGTCTGTCTGTCTGTCTGTCTCTCTCTCACTTTCTCTCTCGTACAGATACAATTAATGCACACGAACATCAAACATGAATTGCAACAAGAACATGGGGAAAAGATTGAATGATGGCAGTGCTATAAAACGAATACAAGCAAACAAATACGCCTATGAACAGGAAGAAGTATTAGTGCTGACACATCTTTCTTCAGAACTCAAGACTAGTTTTTCACACCCTTTTCTTTGACACAATTATCAGATCCTTTTTTACGCTGAGTACCAAACTAGATCTAAATAACGGAAGTCAAACTTGAAATTGACCCAGTTTGCTTATTATAATTTTTTTTTGTACAGCTGTTTACTTTACGTAGTAAAATGTTTTTGACACTTCTCTTGATAGATGCGAACAAAATGCCAATTTTGTTCTTAGAGTTGACCCCTCTTGTGACAGTGTTAAGTTTGTTTAAGAGGAGGAACCTCCGAATTTAACATCCTTCTCCGATATGCTATAGAAACAAAAGGGAGTAAGTTTACCTAATTTAACCATTCATGTTATCTCATTTTTTCAGCAAATCGGCACCAAGGTTTTACTTTTTATTCTGTGGACTATGTTGGATCTGAAAATTAAAAAAAAAACCCTCATTTGTAACAAAAAGGTAAATGTTAGATCATGCTATGACCCAACGGGTCAGACTTTGTATACTCATGGTTTCTCTGCCTCTTACAACAACGTTGTCGATCCGTTTTAATGATAGATAAGTCAAACAGAAATACAAGTTTAATAAATCAATAAGTAATTAACTAAAAAGGTAAATAATTTATAAACAAATGAAGGAATTTTCTTGATTGACAGACATACGTACTGACAGACAGACACACAGACAGACACACACACAGACATACGGAATTCATCTATCATTTAATAATTTTATAGTCTTATTAACTTGAAAACAAGGATGTTGTGAGAGAGCCAATTCGTAGGCGTTAAGCCCAGCACTTCTCTTTAGGTTTTTTAGTTCCATGCGATGCCCTCTGTCACATCTCACTATCTATCCTCACTTTGTTTCCCTGCTGCCATCGTCTAGAAACGCAGCTTTCCCGTTTGCTTGAAGAAATTGTTTTGTGTTCTGTCTCAGAACGGCTTTCTTTCACTCCGGAAAAAAATGAGAAACTGGACCAACTGTCTTGACGTTGGGCGTCCTATAAAAATTGTATTATTCATCTAGTTAAAAAGTTTAGCTTGAATCTATCAAATAATGCCCCCCAAAAAATCCGCAGTTTTCTGGAAACTCTACATCAAACGATTTTTACATCAAAAAAATGGTTCAACTCAAAGACGATAGAGTGGAACAAATTAGATTGAAAAGCTGTACTACACTCTATGTGTCTGTGTGTGTGGCTTACTTTAGATTTGCTCTGATCGTCAAATGGTTGAAGTTTGTTTTCCAACACCATCTGGCTGAGCTATAATACATCCATCACTGACTAGGTTCCTACAAGTTCTTGCAGAGTGATTCCCGCCATCATGCTCCGAGAGCACAGTACACACGTAGGGCATTAAAAAGGATAAGAGAATTCAATGCACTTATATCTTATTATGAACTCTGAAAGTGACAGTTTTATTCAGGTGAATCACAAAGTTACAGTTTAGACAATTAACGCACGGTAACCAGATACTGAGACCAAGGAAACCAGCAGCTGCAAGAGGCTGCAAATCAATGTCTTGGCTCTTGGATTTCTTGTTTTCATTGTCAGGAAACTGGAGCTTGATTTTTTTTCTCTCGCCCTTTTTTAACCTGTGTTCCAGCAGGCGCGTCAAAATATTTTATCTGCGTACAGTGGAGTGTTGTGAGAAAAGATAGATAACTTTTTCATGTCGGAGGTAACATTCAGAGAATTTCCCCCACGAAACCGAGTGACCTCGGTGTAATGTCACAGTATGTAGAAGGGGCAGACCTTCCTGTTTTCCCGCTCCAAACAAAGAACGTCCATGTTGTGTAGGGATAAAGACAGGCACGCCTTACGGCTGTTTGTTTTCTCTTACTCCTGTTTTTCTTCCCACTGTTGATTTTTCTTCTTTTTCTTTGTTGATATCTCCGAAGCCGCTTTCTAGCTGATCAACTCGGCGTTCGGTGAACTGACTGAGAAGATTCCCCGTGTTCACCTGCGGCGAAAGGCTTATTACGCCCGTCTCAAAGGCTGATACATTTACCTTTCTGT